CATAGATCTATTTCCCCATCCTCATATAAATATATTTGCATACGTACATGTCTTTATCTAGACCTCTATAAATGCCCTTTGCCTCCTAGCTCTTTCCTCTCTTTCCCTTGATTTTCCTCCTGTCCCACTATCATGCTCAGTCCCCACATTCTGCACTTCCTCTTTGTTGCATTCCCCTTGATCATGCTCTACCAGGCATGACCTAGTTTTGTGTGCATCTTTTATTGTATGAACCGTATGAAATAAACTACCTTTCAGTATATTGGGTTTTAGATGGAAACAGTCATTAGGGCAGCAAAAGGGTTGTGAAATTATTTGTCTCCCACCACAGGCCCAGAAGTGAGGAAGTGAGTACCACCGAGGTTCTTTCTTCTCGTTCTCTTATTTCTGCTTCAGATTTCTTCAGCTCACAACTGTGTGTCCCACAGGTCACAGCACAGGTCGCCCAGGGGTCCTGAATTTCAAATTGTCTCTTCCTTCCTCCACTGTTGGGCCAGTCAACTGGGGGAGGAAGTAGGGGTAGGGAAGGAGGAATTGTGATTGGCTGGTTTGACTTAATGTCTACCTCTGGACCAAGGGAGGAAGGGTTTGAAAGAATGCAACAGTTCCCATTTGAACCTTAGGGCTGAAATGCTGGAGGAGAAGCTCCCAGAAAAAGAAGTGCTATTTCCAGTGGAAAGGAGAGGTTCTGGGATAACCAATTATTTTTCTCTATTGTCAGCACAAATGGGAGCCCTGGTGGTGTAGTGGGCTTCGCATTGGGCTGCTAGTCACAAGGTCAGCAGTTCAAACCCACCAGCCGCAATTTAGAAGAAAGATGAGGTTTTCAGTTCCCATGGAGATTTACAGCCTCAGAAATGACAGGACCCAGTTCTACTTTGGCCGAAGGGGTCAGTGTGAGCTGGAATCAAGCAGACGGCATTTAAAAAATTTAAATCAGCACAAATAAAGTGACTTCAAAAGAGCGAGTGAGCTTGAAGTGAGGAAGATAAGATTCCTCAGAGTGCCCGCCACTTAGGAAGGGGCAGTGCCTCTCCTTGCAGGCTGAAGCATGTGTCGAGGCAGCAGGGTGCAGTGGAGCGAGGTTCGTCTGCAGGCTCTGAATGCTGTATTTGCAACTTACCAGCACTGCCCTTGAGCAAGTGAATTCACTCGTCTGAGCTTACTTTTTGTTCCTTGTAAATTAGAACACAATGGTGCTTCTTCCCTCATGGTGATATTAAAGGGCTAAAATAAGAGACCACACAGGTATCTGGCAGGATACGCAATCAATATACACCATCACCCTCTGTTGTCAGTGTTCGTCCAGCAGGCGAGTGGCTGTGAGGTGACTTGATCCCGGCACTCCTGACTCAGAGGTCAGTACCCGTTCCGTTCCCATGCACAGGGCCTTTGAACCACCATTGCTCTCACCTGAGAGACTGACCACAAGTGTGTGGCTTTCCGTGGTCTCACAGGAGTTGTTCTAGGGTGTATTAAGTCATCTTCTCATTTCTTCTTCCCTCACTTGATAACTTTAGTGATGGAGCTGAAATCACGGCAAAGCTAACCTTGGAGATTATGCTGTTCATGATAGGCCGGTGCCATTAACACCTTGACCAAGCCCTGCAGGGCTGGGCCAAAGTCCAGTGCTCTCTCTCCATCAAAGGTCGTCCCTTTGAAAAAGTGGCTGGACACAGACAACATTCATGTGACAAGGAGACCGCCTGCTGAGGCGGGGTCTCACGTCTCTGAAAGCAAGATGGGCTGCGGATGAGGTGACAGCGCTGAGAGTGACCAGACTGGGAGACAGTGTTTGCCTGCCAAGAAGGTTCGACCTACTCAGGCTTGCGGCCACTGTCACCATCCCAGCAGCAGCAGCGGCAGCAATCTCGGTCAGCAGTTCTCAACCTGTGGATCACAACCTCTTTGGGGGTCAAACGATCCTTTCACAGCGGTCACCTGACTCGTAACAGTAGCAAAATTACAGTTATGAAGTAGCCAATGAAAATAATGTTATGGTTGGGGGTCACCCCCACTGCATTAAAGGGTGGCGGCATTAGGAAGGTGGAGTACCACTGCTGTAGCTAAAGCTCAGGAACCTGCAGCAGTTCCAGGCTTGGCCCACAGGGCCGGACGCTGTGAGTCCTGGTAGTTCTCCCGTAACACCAAGGGAAGGAGGCGAGTGAGTTCCAACAATGCTCTCCTCAGAACGAGGGGTGGGTGGGTGGGCTGCAACAGCGTCCTTTCTAATAGGAGCAAGACGGACCACTCATTCTGTTCCGTGCAGGCCTCAGGAGCCTCTGTAAGGGAAGAGGAGACTCCACCGAGAAGCCAGCCACGGGCAGAGTGCAATCAGAACCCAAAGCATCTCTTCCCAAACCCACGCTCAGCATGAGCACCGCCCCAGCTCCCTGCGGAGAGGGAGGGAGAGAGGGGTGGGGAAAGTAGAATTCCCCAGAAGATCAATTTGCATATAAGGAAACATCAGGGGTTCGGACTAAGGCTTCCTTGTTAACAATTTTAGAGTGGAAAGGGGAGAGGAGAGTTACTCCGTGTGCCTGTGCTACGCCCGTGCAGATTGACCAATAGCAACACTTCCCAGGCTAGAGGTTTACTAATCGATTACCTTGATAAGTTATCAAGAGTGAAATACCATCATCAAAGGCCAGAAATTCGTACAACGACAAGTGTGCGGATCAGTCAGCTGGAAGACAAGATGGCTGAATAAACAATTGGCCCACGTTTACTGTGGGCCATTCCACCTTTGCTGCGTGAATCATTCCACCTTTATTGAATAAAGAATTCTACTTCTACAGAATAGACAACCCCACTTCTCTTTCTCTCAGTAGCTAGCATTCCCCGCTATTCAACTTAGTTCCTATCTAGGTAAGCCAGCAGGTACCTGCCTCTCTACGGGTTTGTTTGGGGGCTTTGTGGTTTTGAGAAGTTTCTGTGTGTTTTTTAAAGAAAGGGTGGTGCCTTAGTAACAATGAACGGAAGTATGAGATTACGTGGAGTTACCAGGTGGGCAGCTGGTGTTCCAGTGACAAACAGGGGCAGCAAAAGGCAGGCAATGGTGCTCGATCAGAAAGAAATCTGGTGTTTTTCTCTTCATTATTTTGAAATGAAAGAAGTAATCAAAGATACCTGACAGCACTTCTAGCAGCTTAAGTAGAGTTCTCAGGAGGCTGTATTCCAGCAGGAAATCTCATTAATTTCAATTTAGAAAAAATAAATCCATAGTTATACAATATTAGCCTTTTCAAAATGGGAAAAGATGATCATTTAAAAATATTGTTTTAGGTCCAACATCATGACTTCTCCCGTGGGCTACATCTCAGGGTGTCTCCTCCAACTCTCAGTCGCTAAAGGGGCCTCCCTCCCCCAAACTCTCACGAGTGGTCTGCACATCGCTGCAGAGCACCCCGGCACCCTGCTGATGAGGAGAGACCCAGACAGGAGAACAGAGCAGGTGACCTGCGGGGACAGAGATTTGGGAAGTTTACCACCCTGAGATGTAAACTTGTGATTTTCACAAAGTCATTTTGTATCTCTGAGAAGATATGAACCACGTTTCAAGTCTCAGCCATGCGTGTTTATGTCTTTCACTTTTCTCCTAGGATATTTTTATGTGTGGTCCCTTCAACAACTTCTAGAAACTTCTACTCTAGCATCGGTTTGAATGAAAGAAATCCTGTTGGGTACCAAAGGGCTGTTTCTTCCTGGCATCCTCTCACCGCTTCAGTTTGTAAGCAAGGGGGCCAGCAAGGATTAGCAAACGTGACCTTCATGCTAAGGAGTCAGAGAGAGGGAGTGGGAAGGAAGGAGATTCATATGTCCAGAGAGAGAGAGAGAGAGATCCATTGAGAGAGAGAGATGGAGAGCAACCGCGTCACACCCAGGTGGCTCACAGAAGGGCCAGGAGGCCTCTCAACTCCCTGCCAGGCAGAGCCTGAGCTCTGTCCGGCCTTCTGCAGGCTGCGGAAGCTATGTACAGCTGGGATGATCCTTAAAGAAGCACCATGGTGCTCTTTCCATAGCGTCTAAGAAGCAGGAGTCGACTTGGCCAACAGGACAGCAGATGTATGTCTTTCAACAGGCGAGCAGGTTGCCGTAGACTAGAGGGCCATGGTTGAGCGGCTGTCGAGTTGGCTGTGGCCCACAACAGCCCCATGGACCAAGCTCAACACCGCGTTGCTGGTCTTCATGAGCATCAGCGTACAAAGGACACTCTTGTGGCAACTGTGTATTTTGAGTTCTCCCGGTGCCATGCTGAGCCAGATT